GGCCGCGCCCACTCACGGTAGCAGCCCTGGCGCCAGTAGTGCGTGGGGAGGCAGTCGTCGCACTTGGGCCCCGCCGCGCCCTCGCGGCACTCGCAGAAGCCGGTCTCGTTGCACCGGTCGTGCACAGAGCCGATCTGGTTGCAGTTACACTCTGCAGGACACATGCACGGCGGTCAGGCGACCTCTGGGCGCGGTCCCCGCACCTCGCCCAGCCCGCGTCCCTCGCAGCCGGGTTTCCCTGGCATCCTCCGGGAGATTCCTCCGCTGGATGGCGGCGGGGTCTGCCTGGGGTCTCCAGACCTCCAGGAGTCCTGCCTTCCTTCCCTGGCATCCAGCAACCCCTCTCCCTCCCCTGGCCCTGGCGCCGGTATGGCCTGGGCCAGCCCCTTCCCCTCTCCGGGCAACCGGAGGGGAAGGGACTGGATCTTTGCCAGACCCAAAGAGCTATGACCCTGACAGGTGGCAGGCGCCTCAGCAGAGGCCACGGGGCACCTATCTGTCCATGGGGCTGTTGTGGGGGGTGGCTCCCATCTGTAGCTCCTTTCCAGCGCGCTGGAGGAACAGCCCCAGAGGCCTACCTCTCCTCCCACCCGGCCCCAGCTGGTTTCCTTGCGCCTCTGCTCCGTGGGAGGGGGTGAATGTCCCCCACTCTGGGAGTCCTTGAAGCCCAGTGCTGGGCCTGGGGGTGGAGGCAGAGAGAGGGAGAGGAGGGAGCCTGGGTGGGGGCACCTCTAATTGGATCCAGAGCCCCTGCCCTGTCCCTGCAGCTGGCCCCGCATAACATCGCAGCACAATTTCATCTTGATCACTTTAGAGTTGATGGAATTATCCGGAGGCCACGGCCATGATTCAGGCTGACAGCTCCAGCCTTGCAGGAGCCTCTCCTCTGCCGCCAGAGCTGGCCTGGGGCCGGGGGGCCAAAAGGGCCCAAGGCCCCGGCCGGGCCGGGGCGCGGGAAAAACCCAAAGGGGCCGGAACGGAAAAAAGGGCAAGCAAGGCCGGGCAACCCCCCCAAGCCGGGGGGGGGGGGGGCAAGGGTTTGGCCTTTGGGATGGCCTGTCCCCTGCACAAGGCCTAATGGATCCCTTCTTTAGCTCCAAGCCAGTTCTGGGGCAGAGCCTGGTTGGTGCCTATCAGGGCCAAGCACAGCTGGACCTTTGCTTGGAAAGGCATTTGAGGAAAAGCTCTGGCAGCAAAAAGGATGGAAAACCTTTGATCTGATCCACCTGCCGACCTTATGAGTGGAAGCAAGAGCCGAGGCCCAGAGAGGGGAAGGGACTTGCCCAAAGGCACGCAGCAGGGCGATCTCTAGAACCCGGCCTTTGGCTCCGACCTGTGGCTCTGCAACTCCAGCACCTGGGGGAGAACTGCACGGGGAGGCCATTAACGAGCAGATTCTGGGGCTTCTGTCCTAAAGACGCCCAGCTGGCATGGGCCCTGGAACTGGGATTCCCGCAGCCTGCCCAGCTGGTTCTGACACAGGGGTCCCCAGACCTAACAGTGCCGTGTGCCCCACGGGCTTTCCAGTGAGTTCCCTGTGCCGCGTCCGCGCCCCCTCACCGATGCAGACGTTCTCGTCGTCCAGCTCGGCCGAGCCGTTGCGGTAGTAGCCCAGACGGCAGTGCTGGCAGTGCTGGCCTCTCGTGTTGTGCTTGCAGCTGACGCAGGTCACCACGTTCAGGAAGTCGATGTAGCTGCAGCGGTTGGAGTGGCCGTAGCACTCACAGTCTAGGCCGGCCGAGCGGGAGAAACACTGACGGTCAGTGAGCATTCAGGGAAACTGAGGCACAGGCAGATTAAAGACTCCCCCAGGACATGCAGGGTGGGAGGGAGACATTTTGGAGAAGGACCTAGAAGACGCCCTGGGCCTCCGACCCTGCCGGAGCGTTGGAGAAGACACAGGCCTGCCAGTTTCCAGCCCGAAGGAGAAGCCGAGAAGGCCCAGGAATTCCCGCCTGGCCCCGTGGGCAGGGGACGGGGGCCAGTGGGCACCTGCTGACGCCTGGCCGGGCGCCAGGGCCAAGCGCTCTCTGAAGGATGCCCATGCGTCAAAGGGATTAGAAAGCGGTTCATGCAAGGACAGGGTCATGCCGCCAGACTGTGCCTGGGGCAGGCAGTGCCGGGTTCACAGCGCCACCATCGTGTCCTCAACGACTCCACAGACCAGCCAGTGCACGCATGAATGCTGCACAAGATGCAGCGGGCCAGGAGCTTCCTCCCATGCTGCTTTGGAAGACGGTTGGGAGGGAAATGCCCGCCCTTTCTCGTTAGCCTGAGCTGCCCACAGTGTGTCTGTTTGGCAGGACCCTGGGCGTCTGCTTGCCTCCTCCCGGCCCTGGCCTGGCTTCTCACTTGCTGCTCCGGGAGGCACGCGGCTCCACACCCAGGACCATCTCCATCCACGCACTGTCCCGCTGCCTCCTCCCCCGCCCCATGTGGTCCTCAGGCCGAGCCCTGCACAACTGGCTCTGCTGCATGGACCGGGCCAGCGCCGGGACCGCCTGGGCAAGGCTCTCAGGGCTTGGAGGTGGGTCCCCCAACATCACGGAGGGGTGGGGGTTGGTGAGGAGGGTTACCTTCCCTGCCGCAGAAGGAGGCCATCCTTTGGTGTCCCTCCTAAGGGACTCAACACCTCCTGACGCCAAGCAAGAGAGCTGATGTGGCTGCCCCCGTGCAAGGAAGGGCACCCGCCACCCTCCTGAAACACCATCTGTGTATCTCCAGAGGACCCAGCCTCCCCGTGATGGGGGCGCTGACCCAGGCCTCGGTGGCCAGAGGCATTTCAGACCCTGGAGAAATGGCCTGTGAGGTGTGTCAGGAGAGGCGGTGGCATTCCCACCCGTGGGTCCCCCGGCCCTGCCCCCTTTGCCTTGGCCCTCCAGAGTCAACGAGGAGGCCAGGCACCCTCCAAGTGTCCCAGAGAGCAGTGCTGGTGACCCGCGCGTCCCAGATTCTGCTTCAACCAAGACGAGCCCCTGGGCCACACCTCCCAGGGGAGCCAGGACAGGTTATTTCTGGCAGCTGCTCTGCCTGCTGTGTGCCTGCCCCCTGTGCCCGAGTTGGCTTCTGACTCATACCTGCTCCCCGCTCCCTTGGGGAAGGAGGAGAGACTCCGTCTGACCTTGACCCAGCTACTCCGGGGGCGGTTTTCTGAGCCGGGCGCCAGCCCCCCGTCCGTAGTAGAGGTGGGGGAAGAGGAGGCAGGGAGAGCTGATGTGGCCCGGGGCCCTCTTACCTTGGAATTCTTCAATAGGCATCACTTGAGGAGATTTGGGCTTGAGCTGGAAAAGTTTGGAGCCCTTAGCAGGGGCAGGGGCAGCAGCGGACGTGCCCATGGCTTGGAGAGATGAGAAACAGGCTCTTTCATCTGCCATGGTCCAGCTGCCCGGAAAAGGCTTCCAAAGCACCCCGGGCCAGCTCTGGGGCAGCCTCATCCCTTGCCCGGATTTGAAGCAGGGAGAGGCCACTCTGGCCCCAACGCACAGCGCCCTCAGGTTGGGAGCCAGGCCCCTCTTAGAGCCCAGCGAGGTGGACGCATTTTCCACTTGCTGGAAAGTGACACAGCACACCCACAAGCTTGCACCAGCCCCGCCCTGGGTCCCCTCCCTAGGACCACCTGCACACCTGCCTGGAGTAACCCCGCAAATGACTTCCGTGTCCTCCAGCACCCCACACCGTGCTAGGACCTGCTTGGATGCTGAGCGGTTTTTTGACAGACTGACAGCATCGCTCTGCAGGCCCTTCCCTTGCTCTGCCCCTCGCCCCTTCAAACTCCCTGGAGCATCAAATCCGGAATCTGAACCTAGCATTAAAGACTCTGGCATCTCCCTTCCTTTCTGGAGCAAACTCCCCCCTCCAGCCAGAGTGAATCCTTTACCGTCTCTGAATTCCCACTGGCAAGTGTCGTCAAGCCATGAACACAGATGGCGCCTGTCTTCCCCTGCCCAGGGACCCCCGGGGCTGCAGCCCCACATTGTGGGCAAGCATGCCACTGTCCCAGAGTGTCACTGCCTTGGCTTCCCTTTGGGAGTCTGTGGTGCCTCAGTTGGTCCAGGGCAGCCGGCTCGACCTGTCTCCATCACCAGAGGACGCCCCGACTCTGGGTCCTCCAAGTTGCTAGGAACCGAACCTTGGACCCTCGCTAATTGTGGTCCCAGCTCCGAGCCACCTGCCAGCAGAGGGTGCCCAAAGGCCTGCTCACTGCAGGGGCAGGAGGAGAACTTGAGGTGCTGGAGGGGCAGAATTAGGGCCTGATGTCCGGGAGCAGGTGAGCTGGGCTGGGACAGCTGCCCTCCTTAGAGAGTCAGGCAGGCCCCAGTGTGTCTCCTCCCAAGCAGTGGGACAGTGCGGCCCCCAGCTCGGTGGTCAGTGCCTCCTGCCGTCCCTCCCTGCCCTCATTCGGCCGACGGCTTCCCCGTCAGGCCCGCTGCTGCCCGCTGGCCCTGCCTCCCCTCCATCCACCGCGTCGCCCTCCCGTAGGTCCAGCTGCCCCAGCTCCCTTGGGACGTCCTGTCTGACTCTGGGCTCCATTGGCCGCCCAGGCGTCCTGTTAGCAAGAGTGGCTGGAGAGGGAGGGTCCCGCAGCGAGGGGCAGAGTCTCCACTTGAGTCTGAAGCCCTCGGAGGGGCGTGGGTGAAAACAGCTTGGGTTTGAGATGTCACACTGGACCTCTCTACACAGGGAGAGCTGGCGGCGGGCAGAGGCCCCTCCCCGCAACGCCGTGCCCCAGAGCTCCCCAGGCACCATCTCCTCGCAGTTCCTGCGGTCCCCTGCCGCCCCGGGTCCCCACCACACGCACCTGCTACTTCCACTACGGGGGGGGGCCTAAGGGTCTAAGAAGGGGCTCCCTGGGGTCTCAGGCCTATGGCCGGCCTTGCCCCCCATACCTTCTGCTCTGGAGGACACCTGGGCCCAGGGGGTGCTCTCCCAGAGGGGGGCAGCCGTGGATGGCCTGGTCCACTCTTGGGGGGAGAAGAGAAGAAACCAAGTTATGTGCGGGGGGGCCTGGGGACACACTGAGGCATCACACGCACCCCCTCAGGCCCTTTATAAGCAGCAGCTCTAGAAGGACAGGCTCTGTCTACACAGCTAAAAGAACTAGGTCCAAATCTACAATACAGGCAGTGCCTACACTACAGCAGCCTGCAAGGGCACACGCAGACTTCACCCAGAGGGGAGGGACCGCCATGCCTGAGAATCTGCATACTTTAGGCGGTCTGTTCTTCAGTGGGATCCCTGGTTTGGGGGGCTCTTCTACCCTCCCTGTGTGATCCCCGTTCCAGCTGAGGCGCAGAATTAGACCAGGTCCTGTCTCTGGGCTGCAGTCTCTGGCTAATGGCTGCAGAGCACAGTGTGTGCTCTGGCCAAGATCTCAGACGTGTGCAGAGGCCCTGGAAGGCCTCCGGTCCGCCCCAGGCCAGGGACGGGCGCCTCCTCCATTATCTGACTCACCTGCCTGGCCGCCGCCCTTCCACCTCCCCGAGCCCTGGTTTGGGCCCATTTACACCAGGAATCGCAACGTGAGTCAACCCCCAGATGCCACAGTGCTCAACCCCTAGACTAACTGCACACACAGCTAGGCTGGGAGGCTGGGAGCTGCCTGAGCAGCATTTCAAAGGACCGACCCAGAGGGACTGGGGAGAGGTCTGATGCTTCCTGCTCCTTAAAGGGATTACACACAGTGGTGGCTGGCAGGGGAAGAAAAAGAAAATCTACCAGCTAAGAAGTACAGCGGACTTTCCAGCCGGGAGCTGGGAGCCTCTGGACATCAAATTGACACTAATCTGGTGTTCAACAAAGAACGAGGCCACCAGACCCAAATTGGCAAGGGCTTAATGAGAGCCGCAGAGAACCCGCCCTGAGGCGTTTTGCTTTGGAGTCTGTCTCCCGCCCTCATGGGCCGGGCCTGGGGTGGGATCAGTGGGGTTGAGGGGCATTTTTTGCCCGGCAGCTGCTGTTCTCCCGATAGCTTGACACTGGCAGGGGGAGAAACATCTGGGCCAGGGGCTCGGGCCTGCTGGACTGTTGGGAAGCGCCGGGAGAGACTCGGGACCCCTGGGGGCCGGGGGACTGGGGGCTGCAGAGGGAAGGGCTCCCCGCCGGGCCCCCAGGGACACGCTCAGGTGTGAGGGAAGCAAGTTCTGGCAGTGGCCTGTGTCCTGTGCCGAGACCAGATGGCAGCTCCGTCTGTTCCTTCTGAATTCGGGAGCCGTGCAAGCCAGGCCTTAAAGGTGGCACCACCTCATAGCCCCAGGCCTTGGGGCAGGGGCACTGGGTGGCGGGTGGCGGGGCCGGGGCAGCGTCGGGCAGTGCGCTGAGCGCAAGTCCTGCACCTTCACGGTCCCACACCTTGGGCAGCTGCTGCTTTTCTTTCCCTTTTCTTCTTTTAGAACAGCTTGATTGAGGTATAGTTTACATACCACAAAATCCAGGTGCTGCTTCCTAAGCCTCAGTTTCCCCCCTTTGGGACCAGGACAACAGCAGCCTCCACCTCCCAGAGCCACAAGGAATATGATCACTGGAGCTTGGCTCTGAGCAACTGGAATGATCATCGCTACTAATGGGGGCTCCGGGTGGTGGCTGCTCCAGCCGCGGACTGTCACATTGGAGCCACCTCCTTCCCTAGTGCCCCTCTGCTGGCACAGGGGGAGCTGACCGCGTCCTGGGGACCCTCACAATTTAAACCTCAGCTCTTCCGGATTCACCACTCTGGCCTCTGACTTTTCCTCTTTCACTCCCAACTTTGCTCAGTCTGCCTGTGGCTGCCCTTGCACCAAACCAGAAGCAGCTCTGAAAGTGGATTCGAACTTCCTCAACCGTGTGTGTGCATGTCCGTGTGTGTGTACGCGCATGTGCTCACACACGTGCAATGGTGCCTGGCCTCCCACCCAGACACACCCGAGTGGAGGCAGACACAGGACCTGCCGTGGCTACCTTTGCTCCCTCTGCCCACCACAGACTCACACAGCTCGGCCACCCTATACCCAGAACTCTCCGAGAGACCTTTGTCCTCCACCCCAAGGAGGATTTCTGGGGCAGGAGGCTCCCCAGAATCCTCCAATCTCCTGGCCAGGCCCTGCTTCCTGCAGACACCTCCCGTGGAGAAGGAGGGCTGGGGAAAGGGGATGTGAAGTCCTGAGCGAAGCCCAGGGAGGACAGCACTCTCTCTCTCGGGGTCCATCGGCCTGGGGAGGCTGAGCGCCCCACCCCCAACAGGCTGAGGGAAGAGAGGCTGAGTGTGGCTGGGTCCCAGGGCTGATGGAGGAGGAGGGGGTCTCTGCCCTTGAGAAATGCTGCCCCTCCATGGGGAGGGAGGGTAGAGGCAGGACTCCTCGAATCAGAGAGGAAGGACACTGCCCCAGGAGTAAGGCCGGGTCCACCCTGCAGGGTGGGGGAACGCCATCAGGGCACCCCTCCCTGGCGGGGAGCAGGAGGAAGTCCCCTCAGCCACCATCTTCCTAGCACCTAGGGAAGGACCAGTCCGTTCCGACTCCTGGCACCTGCCGTGGGCAGAGTCTGGTGAGCGTCCAGATGCGCCCAGGGCCCAGCCCAGGCCTCAAGTGCACAGTGCCGCCTGCAGGAGGGAGCGAGAACCACCCGCTTTCCATGCCTGTCTGCAGCTGCAGCCCCTGCCCGGCCCTGCGCACAGCCCCCCCAGGGCCCAGCATCCAGGTGTCAAACCTGGCTCCAGATGCTCCTTCTGCCTTGCCGGGCGGACAAGTTTGCCTTCTGGGCTAACCCTGCTCTGCCCAGCCCCAAGGTCGGCTGGGCTGCAGAGGGGCTGGGGGCAGGGCCTGGGCCAGCTCCAGGGAATACAAAGGCAGAAGCTCCATCGGGAGACAAGACCCCATCTTTGGCTGAATGTCAGGGTGGCCTTGCTGCCAAGTCCCCCATCCGTTTGACCGCACTGGTGTGGGGCCCTACCAAGCAAGGCAGGAGGAGGCAGGAGGAAGCTTTCTGGAGCTTGAACTGGCCCCTGGATCCCCGGGTTGGGGCTTGGTGACAGGTTGGCCCAGATGGCCTGGAGGCCCCTTTGGTCCCTGCCCTTGTGGCTCCAGGGTTCTAGCATCTATACACTAAGACCCAAGCCCCTGCTCTCCCCAGGGCTACCCCCCCACACACACAGAGAGGCAGGGACTCAGGCTAGAAGCAGGAGCAGGCGGGACAGTAGGGGCCACTGGCTGTTCTCTGGCACCCACCTGTGGGCTGTGGGGTGCTGGGGGCCGTGGGGGCCGTGGCAGTGGGTGTGGAGGGGGCAGAAGTGGTGAGCCCCCCCCTCATGGCCACGGTGGCCACAGGGCCTTTGGGGACAGGGTCTTTCTGGGACCTGCTGATGCCTGGTGAGAGATCGGAAAAGCGAGAGGGTGCAGAAGTCAGCAGGGGTGGCGGCACCACAGAGACGCAACTTACGACGCTGCACAGGTCCACGTCCCCTCCAGGGGCCAGCTTCCTTCTGCGCCCAGCGGGGACAGCCCGGGTCGGGAGGGGCCACCTGCGTGACGTGGAGCCCCACAGAGGGTGGAGGGTGACTGGCACACCCAGAACATTTCTGAGATTTGGGGTGGGCCAGTGGTTTCCCGCTGACTCAGCGTGGGTGGGGGCGGGGCCTGCAGGGATCAGCTGAGAGCTGAGCCTGGGCTGGGTGAGTGCTGCATGGGCTGTCTGGCTGTCGCCTGCTGACCACCCATGGGCACCCACGCCTGCCCTCCCCCTCCTCGACAGCTCTCAGGCCCTCCTGCAGATGCCCCCTCCTCGGTCTGCCATGCCCTGGGCCCTGAGCTGGCCCAGATGACCAGGGCAGGGGTGGCAGTCTCCCCAGCCCTCCACGGGCCAAGCCGCTGCAGGGGCTGCCAGAGGGAGGCTGCCCCCCACGTTCAGGCTGGGGGTGGACTCTGCCCTGGTCGGTGAGGAGGGTCACCCCACTCTTGCCTGGCAGGAGACTCTCCTCCCAGCTCTGGGTGAGAGAGGAGGAGGAGTCCACCCAGGGGTCAAGGGGACCTGCGAAAAGTCCCGTCCCACTTTCCAAAGCAGCACCGATGAAGCTCCTGGGGGAAGGGACTTGCGGGGGCCGCAGGTCACAGCACAATGACAACGCGATGGGGTCACAGCACAATGACAACGCGATGGGACTCAGGGAGGAGAAGCAGATGGGGCGGGATTAGAGGAGGCAGCGGAGAGGCCCGAGGGACGCCAAAGCCCCTTCTTTTCTCTCCAGCTCCTTCCAGGACATGCAAAGAGGCTCGTGCAGCGGGGGCCCGTCACCCTCCCTGGGGGACCCAGACGTGTACTTACTGCCAAAGGAGCCTGCAGCGGCACCTGTGGGGAGAGAGAGGGTCACAGAGCTGGCTGCCCAGGAGGAAGGGGCCTGGCTGTGTCCTCCCTGAGGGGGGTGAGGCAGGGGGTGCATCAAGGTGTCTCTCCCTCTGCCAAAGGGAAGGAAACTTGGGGCTTGGGTGGTTACCCCATTTCACACTCACCACAGCCCTGAGAGGGAGGAGCTGCTAATTAGCCCACTTTGCAGATGGAGAAACTGAGTCTCAGAGCCCTGACTTACCCTTGGGGACGTTCTGATAGGTGCAAGCACCCCACTGGGAGCTTCACACACACCCCTCTTTTAAGATTTTGGACTTTTGGGCCCTCCAGTGCAGGACAAGGAATCGTGTGCAGCGTGTTCCTGTCTGAGAAACTAGGGACGGCCGAATAACTTCCTGAAACGCCATCGTAGTGGCTGCCAGGCGCTGAGTGCTTTCCGGGTGCCCGGCAGGGTGCGTGTGTGCCCACGCATGAGCCACCTGGTCCTCACAACAACCCACGAGGGAGTCTTCTCACCGTCCTGCTCCTACAGACAATGGTAGCTGGGAGTGGCCAAGACACGGCTCAGGTCCCCCGTCTGTGTGGCTGTGCCTCAGGGACGAGGGAGTCCCAGGGTAAGAACCTCCCAGTCGGTCCAGGGAGGCCTGGGAGGAGGAGCCGGGCCACACTCACTCCTTCCTTCACCCGTGTCTGGGCAGGCGCCACATCAGGCCCTGGGGACACCTCGGGAGGTGTGGCCTCAGGAATGAAGCAAGGACAGGCAGTTACCAAGAGAAGCTCCCTGGGGGCCAGGCAGGATGCTGGGGGGGCACCGAGAGGCGAGGGGACCTCTGAGCCTCTTCACCCCTGGAGGGTGAAGGAGCCACCCGGGCGGGCGGGAAGATGGGACAGGGAGCAGGTGGGAGGGTATGGGAGGGAAGTGCACAGGTGTTGGGGGTGGGGCAGGGCCCCAGTCCAGGTGACCCCCAAGCTTGGCCCCCTGGCTGTTGGTGCCACTTGGGCTCTTTTCTCCTGGTAGCCCGGGAGAAGGAGGGAGACCCGGGTGAGAGAGCCTCAGGCTGAGGCCATGGAGCACCCCAGCCTCACCCTGCCCCTGAATGCTCCAGGAGAAACCCCTCCTTCCTGGGGACACAGGGGCGGGGCGGCCAGCTGCTGCCGGGCCCCTGCAGGGAGCAGGGGTGGAGAGGTTTCTAAGGCAATGGCCCAGCTTAGACAAGGAGGTGGCTCCAGCCTGGGGGAGCAGTGACAGTGGGCCTCCCATGTGTCCTGTAGGTAAGAGTCTCGGTCTGTGGGTGCCCAGGAGGTGACAGACACAAGCCCTTGCAGAATCCTCCCAGGAGCAAGGGGCAAGCGGAAGACAAGAGCCAGAAGTGCCAGAGAGAAGGGGGGGGCAGTGGGCGGGGAGAGGCCCACAGGACGGATGAAGGGGAGGTGAGGCTGTGGGTCAGCGAGTGACAACCACTAAAGGAAGGCTTCCAGAAAGGGTCTGGGCCTCAAAGAGACAGAGACAGGGACCTGGGAGGAGGGAGCCAGGCTGGGCGGGCCGCCAGCACCCAGAGCGCTCTCTGTGCCTTCGAAGACCTGAGAGTGCTTTGGTGCCCGGCAAGTCATCCCTTCAAAGGCCTGTTGTGCCGCCTGCCCTGGCACACGCACGACGTGCCTGTCACGGCCTTGGAGCGGCTTTCGGCTTCCATCAGCCTAAAGTCACAAACCTTTCACCCATCGAGGGAGGGTGCCCAGACAGGGTGGCACGGTCCAGGGTGCAGGAGGCCGCTGCCCAGCCCTGGCGGCAGCACCAGGCCCAGTAGCTCGTGGTGAAACCTAGGAGGGCGCCGGGGCTCGCCCGGCCTCGGTTTGCTCCTCTGGAGAGTGGGCGACAGCGACACTCCCACCCCGTGTGTTGTTGTGAGGACGGAGTGAGGCGATGCGTTTAAAGTGCCTGGCGCAGCCTCAGGCCCCGGACAAAGTCCTTGACAAGGGTCAGACACCAGTAAAACCCCGGGGGGCGTCTGGGCTCTCCGACACTGCAGCCCAGGCGCCCGCTGGGATTCGTGGTTTCACGGAGACACCCGTGGCTAAGCCGGGGGTCCCCGATGCGTGGGCGTCCTCCACAGGGTGTTGGTGATGCAGGTGTGTGGGCAGACCTCGAGGTGGCTTCCCTGGCACGGCTGAGCGAGGAGAGGAGAGGGCTGGGCAGAGAGCATGGGCAGGGGGCTCCGGTGAGGGCCTCGAGGACCCGCTGTGACATGGACAACAGGTGCCCAGCTTCCCGGGGCACTCCGAGGACGGAGGGGGTGTGAACACGCAGCGCGCCGTGGGCAGCCTGTCAACACTCATCAGGGATGGTGCTGGCTATCCTGATTCCTGCAGCGGGGCTCCCTGCCCCCTCACCCCCGCCCTCCCCAGGGGGCCTCCTGCGTCTTGGGTTTCCCTGTGGACCAGGGCCAGAGGGGTGGCTGAGAGTTCAGCAGGATGCAGGCGTGCTAGAGGGTCTTGCGAAGTGTGTGTGTGTGTGTGTACTTGTTTGTGCATGTGCATCTGTGCATGCATGTTTGTATGTTTCTGTATGCATGTGCTTGTGTGTATGCGTGCATGTGTCGTGTGCGGGATCCAGAGCTCCTGGGGTTGACAGGTGGGGGAAACCGCAGCCACCCTGTCTCGCAGCCCCCGGGTGCGGTACGGCACATACAGGCGTTGGGAGAGCCGTGGGGCAGCGGCAGGTAGGAGCCGGCCCGCCAGGAGCGGGTGCGGAAGTTCTTCTTGCACTTGCCGCAGTCGGGGCCGGTGGTGTTGTGCTCACACTCGCACTGCAGGCTGCCCTCGCGCACGGAGCACAGGTTGGCGTGCAGGTTGCACTTGCACCTGGGGAGACACGAGAGGGAGCGGCGTCAGAGGGCTCGAGGGCAGGCTTTCTGCGGGGAAGGGGAGCCCCACGGGAGGGGCCCAGGAAGGTGCTGGCCTGAAAGGACCGCGGAGGCCACCAGACCATCCTGCACCACCTCCTTCGGCACAGAAACGCCCAGATCCACCCTCGCACAGAGGGATCGACTCCGTCTTCTGAAGGCTGCCCCGGGACTCACCGCTGCTGGTTTACTCCCCTCTTTGATGGTGGTTCCAAGGATTTCTGCTTCTCAGCTGGGGCAGGTGACAAGTCTCCTTTGTCCCAGATGCTGCATTTTTAGCAACGTGGCTTCTGATAGCCCCAGCTCTGGCTGAGGTGGGCGGACAGGTGGCAAGGGCTGCCACCAGCCCCTCGCTGTGCAGACAGGGACCTGGCCACAGGCTGCACCTCTGCTGTCAGCGGTGGCCACGCCCGTGGTCTTGAGGGTGACAGAAAGAACCCCCAACTCCCAAGCCCCTGTCAGTTCGTCCACACATGTATTATTCATTCATTCATTCAAATATTTATAGGCAACTCATTATTCTGAAAACCGGTAAATAAAGGAAAGCAGCAAGCATTTATCTCGCCTGTCCTACATAGACGGTACCGCAGGGTAACCAGAAGTTGACGGGGGGAAGTTTCTTTTTATAGAAGCATTTCATGATGGAATCAGTGGTCCCTAACGAAGGCCTGGCTGCAGGCGCCGAGCAGCGACAGGACAGAGCATCACAGTGAGTCGAGCAGAGAGAGCTTCCCACACCCCCACCACGCCGTCCTGCCAAAATGAATCGCCCCTGAGTCAGATGGAGTCTCTGGGCCCAGCCACGAATTCGCAGGAAATACAGAACCACACACCAAACGCCAGGGGACGCAATCCAGCCGGAGGAAACTCCAGAAGTGATGACCCAGTTTTGTCAACAGATGAATGGCACGGGACAAAAACTGATCCAGAGGGAGAAGGGACCTAGATTAAGAGAAACCTCAAAGGCATATCATCTGGTGGCAGGGCGTGGACCGCCTCTGCGTCTTGGTTCAAACAACCTACGAAATCAAATAAACAAATGGCAGGTGCATGTACGAGACACTTGGAAATTTGGACACTGCCTATATTTGATGATATTAAATTAATCTTTATGAGGGGTGATGATAGTATCATAGTTATGTTTTTAAGTTTTGTTTTGTTTTTTTTCCCCTGAGACAGGGTCTAGCTCTGTTTCCTGGGCTACAGTGCAGTGGCACCATCACAGCTCACTGCAACCTCCAACTCCTGGCCTCAAGTGATCCTCCTGCCTTGGCCTCCCAAGTAGCTGGGACTACAGGTGTGTGCCACCACGGTGCCTGGCTAAACTTTTTTTTTTTTTTTTAGAGATGGGGTCTTGCTATGTTGCCCAGGCTGGTCTTAAACTCCTAGCTTCAAGTGATCCTTCTGCCTCGGCCTCCCAAAGTGCTGATATTACAGGCCTCAGCCACTGCACCTGGCCTTGAAATTTCTTTTCTTTTAGAGAAACACACAGAAATACTTACAGGTGAAAAATTATCTGATAACTGGGATTTGCTTCAGAATAACACTGAGAGGGGGAACACAGGCCAAGGAACAGATGAAACAGGAAGGGCCACCAATTGACGACGGAAGTTACATGACAGATACACGGCGGCTCATCATATCAGATTCTCTCTTCCTTTGTGTGTTGGAAATTCCCCATAATAAAAGGGGAAAGAGAGAGAGAGAGAGACAGTGCTCTATACTCTGACACCGGAAGATTTCCAAGGTATACTGTCAATATTTGGAAAAAGCAAATTGCAGAACAACGGGTTTAGTAGAATCTTCTTTTTATTAAAATATGCAAAGAAAAACATTTACAGGGCACCTGTTCTGTGGCAGCCTCTGAGCTGGGAACAGTGAGTGTAACGGTCAACAAAGCAGACGGGTCCCTGTCCTGATGGGGCACAGGGTCTCGCAGGGAGACAGTGGAAATGTCAGTGACCTGAGGGAGCCGGGAGGGAGGACAGACAGGCAGAGTACAGGGGGTGTCTAGGGCAGTGAAACGCTTTATGATGCTGTATGCATCGTAAAGTAACATTATGCGAATGTCAAAGCCCACAGAACTCTGAGACGCAGAGTGAACTGTGATGTAAACTATGGGCTTCAGTTAATAACAGTGTATCAAAGTTGGCTCATAATTGTAACAGATGTCAAATGCAAGATGTTCACAAGGAAACCCGTGCAGGGGAGAAGGGGTTAACTTTCTGTACTATCTGCTCAATTTTCTGTAAACGTAAAACTTTGCCAAAAATAAAATCTATTAATTAAAAAACAATCATCACACAAACTTCCAGTTGTTCTAAGAGCCCCGGTGTTGCACAAAGGAGAAGGTATCGGGGCCGGGGGTCCTAACCTGGTCTGCGGGGGGCAGGACAGGTTTCTAGGAAGAACAGTTTTAAACTAAGACTTGAAAGAGAATCAGAAGTTGCCAGGCCAGAAGGAGAGAACCTTCTAGAAGGAGGCAAGAGCGTGAGGGAAGATCCTGCGGCCGACAGGACCTTGAGAAGAGCTCAGCTCGTGAGGTCGGAGCAGAGGCTCGCGGTGGGATGAGGCCGGGCCGTGAGACAGGCTGGATTTCACCCTGCGAGCCACTGACAGCCTTTGGCGAGTTTGACGTGTCCTGCTTTGGTTCATGTTTTTACATCACCGTGGCCACTCCACGGAGGACGGTTTGTCTGGCGGACGAGTGCTCAGGCAGCGAGACCAGCGGGACGCCGTGCATGGGGCCCGGACCAGGGTGGGGACCGCCAGTGACGCCTGGGCGTGCAGCATCTCCCCCTGCCTGGCCCTCCTCGTCTAGAGACCCCGACGTTTAGGCGACAGGACCCCGCCCCTCCCCCTGGCTAGGTGAGGCTTTCTGTCTCCCACATTGCACTCCTCGAACCGGCCCAGACAGACAGACTCGTCTCCCCTCAGCTGCGGCCACACGCTGCAGCGCTGTGTCCTCACGTCCTGCTGGGCCCTTCATCTGCGCCCTCACCGCCTCCCCCTGCCCTGCCTTGGTCTCCACCGGACTGGGGACCGGGCTCCGTGGGGCCGCCTTCCAGGCAAGGATCTCAGCGGGGAAACTGGGGGCCCGTAGGTCCACCAGCCCCACACCAGCCGCCGACCCCCGTCTGCGGCTTCCTGCCGCCTGGGCCGCCTTCCTCCCTGCGGCTGCCTCGCTGCCCTGGCATGAGCCTGCGGAGCGGCGCAGGGAGTGAAGGTGCGTCCGGGACACGGAATATTCTAGAACTATTAGGCACCATGTTGTCAGAGGCTGTTCCCAGCCGCGGGGAACGTTCCCAGCAGGCGTGAAAAAGACCACAGCTGCTGAGGGCTCGCCGTGCGCCGGGCAGGGTCTCGTCCAGTCCCCTAACCCACAAGAGGCGGTGCCATCGTCACCGCGCATTACGGATGAGGGAGTGGAGGCTCAGAGAGGTCGGGCCTCTGCCCAGAGTCACGGGGCTGCCCCAAAGCATGCCTGGGACTGGAACTCAGAGATACCTGACCCCAGAGTCCAAAAGGTTAACATGGGATGGAGCATGGATTGCAAACAACTGGGGTACCAAAGGGTAAGGTTAAAGGAAAAAAAACCGGAACAAAAAACCCAAAAAAAAACCAATCCGGGAACCCGGGGGGGCCGGTTAGGGAGGGAGGGACGGGATCAGAAATGGTTTTCATTTTCTTCTTTGTCACTTTCCATGTTTTCTACACTCTCTACAGTGAGCAGATGAAAACGTTACCAATATTTGGCAGAGCACGGGGGGTTTTCGGGGCGGTGTCACTGCTCTGTGTGATGCTGTCGTGGTGGACACGTGTCACTATACATTCGGCCACAGAATGTCCAGCACCAAGTGGGAACCCTACTGTCAACTGTGGACTTGGCGATGATGAGGCGTCAGTGTGGGCTCGTCCACGGTCCCAAATGGGCCACTCCGGGGGGATGCTGACGCGGGGGAGGCTGCGCCGTATGAGGCGGGGAGTACATGGGGAGTCTCCGCCTTCCTTTTGTTTTGCTGTGAACCTAAGATGGCTCTAAAAACATAAGGTCTATTTTAAAAAAATGTTATCTAAAAACATGAAGTCGGGCCAGGGTGGGGAAGGCAGGAGGAAAGGCGGAGGACTGGGCGGGGGGCTGCTCACATTCCACGCCGCCCACCCGTCTGCGAAGCTCATTTCCCAGGACGAAGGGCGTCTATCCCCGGAACGCGCTTGCAATGCGCGGCGCGGGGCTGCTGAAGTCTGTTACTCAATCCCAACCTCCCCCACCACTCGGACACCACCCCTACCGAGGGTCTACCGCGGCACCGAGCTGAAATAAATGGAGCATGAAAAAGCCTGTTCACTCTTTCCCCGGAGTTCTAACCCCTCCACTACCGTGTATGCGTGCTGTGGGCCTACTGTGTGCTCAGCTCTGGGAAAGGCAGAGTGGGATGGCAGGCACCTGCTCGCATTGGGGGCTCTTCTTCCCGGGGACACTAACACCCGGGGATGGTCCTTAGCAGGAAAAGTTCCTGTCATGTGCCTAAACCTTTTTGGTCAAGCATATGATGCTCTCTAAATCCCCCCACACCCTGCTCCCTGGCCTCTCCCACCCAGGGCCACAGTGCTTATTAGCATGTTAAAGGCTCTGACAAGTCCTGCAGGAAAGAAACCTACTTGACTTTGTCTAACGAAAGTTTGTCTGCAAAATGTATTTGACCTTGGAAAGTTTTAATTTTCTTCTTCTGAATTCCAATTTGACATCCCACTGAGCTAGCTGCAGAGGAACACCCCAGCTGTATGGAACTAGGAATGTACTCCACACCGCTGGCCTGAGGAAGGGATATTTTTAGATATCAGCTACATAAAGAAAAGATTGCCATCAACTTTGGGTGATAACATTGACCCTAGCTTATTAAAAATGCATAAAAGACCAGCAGAATCCGAGAAGCATATTGTAACGACTATAACAGA